CTGGCGGTGGCAGGGAAGCCCAGAAAGCCTCCGGTGGCGGCAGGGAGGCTCAGGAGGCCTCCAGTGGCAGTGGTCACAGCAGCAGGGAAGCCCAGGAGGCTTCAGACTGGTAAGGTGCTGCTTTTTCCTTTTGAAAAAGTTGTTCTGAGTGGGTTTTGGAGGGTAGGTTTGGGCTTTTTTCTTTTTTCTTTGCGCAGTCCCAGTGTGGGACTTGCTCCAATGTTTATTTTTGGATTGGTTTTTTTTCCTGTCCCATGTGGGACTTGCTCTGTTCATTCATTGTCTTGCTTGCTTGCTTGCTTGCTTGCTAAAAAAACGTTAAACGAAGCAAACGTTAAGCGAGGCACCACTGTACAGTGGTGCCTCGACCTACGGACGTCCCCACTTAAAAAAATTTCGTATTACGAAAAGCTCCAGCTGCAAAATTTTGCTTTGACTTGCAGCTAGAGCTTCGACGTACGACCAAAAAAGGCAGAAAAAGTGCAGGAAATTCAAACCGTTGGTGCCGAAGAGGTTGCTACTTTGTAGCTCTTTCACCCCAATGGTTAGGAAAAGGGAAGCTCAGCCTCCTGGGCTTCCACCACTGCTGCCACTGCCGCTAGGAGGCGAGCCTCTGGACCATCCTGGCTGGGCTCAGCCTCCCGGGCTTCCAGCGCCGCTGCGACCGCCACCTGAGGCCTCTTGGGGTTCTTTGCTGCCGTGACTGCACTTTCTGGGCTTCCTGCTGCTCTGACTGCCACTGCCGGAGGCCTCCCCGGCTTCCCCGCCACCATTGTCGGCTTTCCGGTCTTCTCCGGTGGCGAAGCCCAGAAAGCCTCCAGCAGCAGCGGGGAAGCCTGGGGGGGCCTCCGGCGGTGGCGGTCATAGCAGGAGGGAAGCCCAGGAGGCTTTGGACTGGTAAGGTGCTCCTTTTTCCTTTTGAAAAAGTTGTTCTGGGTGGGTTTTGGAGGGTAGGTTTGGGCTGGGGGGTTATGTTTCTGTGTTTGTTTGTTTTTCAGTCCCAGTGTGGGACTTGCTTCAATATTTATTTTTGGATTTGGTGTTTTTTTCTGTCCCAGTGTGGGACTTGCTCCGTTTATTTTCTTTTGCTTTCTTTCTTTTCTTTTTTGTATTTTTTTCTTAGGCTGGAATGAATTAATCAGTTTTCCATGCATTCCTATGGGAAATGGTGCTTCGACTTATGAAAAATTCGAGTTACGGCTACCGTTCCAATACGGATTTTAGTAAACTGAGGCACTACTGTACAACAAAATTATTGGAAACTTTTACATTAGACATTAGTTTTCTAAAGGAAAACAATAAATACCAGAAATGCTAGACTATCTATGGCACTATACGAGCGTGTTTATTAACACAGAGAAATCTCATTTACTCACATTGCACTGAGATGCAGTTTCCATGTTCTTACACCAGTAGCCGGGGCCACGGACACATAATTCTGACCCCAAAAGAGACGGTGTGGATTTTACACAAACTCCAATTTTCTGTAACATGATAGAGGCAACAATACCTGCATGTATTACTTATGCATGATAAAACTGCGGATCACAGTGTCATAAAAATGTGAATTCCACCATCTAATCATTAATGCTTCCAGAAGTGTCAATAAGTCATTTGGGTCAATCAGTCAAGCAGGCTATCAATTCCACCCTTGTTCTGAACATGCTGTTGAGTCAGAATTTCAGGACATAAAGCCTTATGAGTTCCTTCTGTTCAGAGCAGTTCCCACCAGTTGAATATAGCCACATATAAACAAAGTATAACAGTTTCACATGACAATACTATAACATAAAACACCCTGGGTTGAAATACTGTCTCCCTTTCACCCCATAGTGTTTCAAGCACTCTCTGGGCAGTTTACAAGTTAATTATATAGGCTACACATTGTTGCCGCCCCCAAGTTGGGTACTCATTTTACCGACCTTGGAAGGATAAAAGGCCAAGTCAACCTTGAGCTGGCTACCTGGGATTGAACCCCAGGTCATGAGCACAGTTTTGGCTGCAGTACAGCAGTTTAACCACTGTACCACAAGGCTCATTGTGGCCCCATTGAAGTATCCTTCAGTGAATGACAAATAAAACAGTAGTACTGTACTTACACTACACACAAAAGTGGGGTCCATCACTTCTGTCAAGAGCTGTACAACTATTGGCTCATACTGATCCACAAACTGAATACACTATTGGAAGCAGAGGAAAAGAAGATATCAGGATACAGGGCCCTGTACCAACTGATTATGGAAATCAGGTAAAGCAGATCACAATGCAACTAGGACCTGTTTTTAACCATGTGGAGTTCTGTCTAAGTGAAAAATCTTCAGGGCCCACTGATTTTAGTGCAAGATTTATAACATGCAGTAGGCAACCTGATAACCTTGCAAATGTTCTGGATAATGTCCCATAAACCCTATTAATCACAGCCAATGGTCAAGTATAATGGGAGCTGTAATCCAAAGTAATCTCAGGCTACCAGGCTGCTTTGGGCTCAGGCACTGGTCCTGCCTGATTTGGTAGCAGAATGAAACAAAGACAGAGAAAGGGGATTCCCTCCACTGGAGAACTGGTTGTAACTCCAAGCGGTAAAACAGGTAGGTTGTTAAGTGAGGGGTGCCCATATATCAATTAATGTGTGTATACTATTTTTAGTTATAGGCCCTCAAAACAGTAAATATGCAATTATATAAATAAAATGCACTTTAACATTTTAATCACACAAGCATCCTGTAAACTCAGTAGAATAAAAGGTAACTTAAGTACTTTGTCCTCCATGATAACTCAGTTCATGGAAAAATATTTAAATCTTTTCAGGATTACCAGTACATGCCTGCACATTGCAGTTTGCTTTTTTCCATATGAGAGCGATATTCAGTGACAGATGGGATCACATTTCTTTATTTATTGCACTCCTATGCTGCCTTTCTCCCAGCAAAGAGGGAGAGGGACTCAAAGAGGGCAACAATGCATGAATAAAGAATAAGAATTAAAAACATGTAAATATTAATTTAAAGTTTAACAATCATTAAAATAGATAAAAACAAATCCAGAAATAAAAACAAATTTAGAACACATTAAAAAGGATATATTGGCAGCAAACACAGTGCAACTAGCTAAGTTCAAATCAGATATTAAGTACCAAAAGCCTACTGGAATTTAAAAAAAAAAAACTTTTCAACTGATGCCAAACAGAGGGTCAGCCTAGCCTCACAAGGGAGGGCATTCCATAGCCTGGGGGCATCCACCAAAAAGTCCCACTCTCAGGTCCCTATTAAATATACTGTATATGTAAAAGTAAAATAAAAAAAACTGATAGAAAGGCCTAGCGGACAATCTTAAAACTCAGGGAGGGTTATATGGGGAGATACGGTCTACCACATTTCCTCTTAATCACACCTCAGCATGTGGATACAATTTCTTCCTTCAACCCAAACAGTATTCCAATCAGATTGCTGTTTGATCACTGCTAGCAGCAGTGAATGAACAATATGCTCAAAGTTAGGAAATAACTTATTTTCCTTAGCTGGGTGGGAAGTGGGAAGTCTGACCAACTTCTCAGGAGGGGCACTGGAAGCAGCTGAGTGCTGTGAATGGGACATACCACGGTCTGTTCACGGCTACTATACTGAAACTGATCCACACAGTTTTATACAAATACGAAATGTAACCTATATTATACCATTCTAGATCTTCAATTTCTGGAGAAACTTGCTCTGTAGCATGACACTCTATGAAGCAGTTTCTGTGCAATAACCGACCCAGAGCTGTAAATCTAGTACTGTATATTATCAGAAGATTTTGAGGAGAGCTGACTCAAGATAGACATCTATTTACCAGCATATGCACTATTGCTGTTATTTACATTTTCAACCTTAAGTGTTCAGTTCCACAAAATGCTATTTTGAAAACGTAAGACCAATAAAAACATTTGAAAATGTGACAACAGAACAAAAATCTAACAGTCCAATAAAATACAGCTGAATGTAGAAATAGCTGCAACATATGGAAAGATGACAGTAGCATAAAAAACATACTGTAGGCTTACAAAGTTCAGACAAATGTAAAATAGAACCAGTTACTAGAAATGGCTGAAAAATTATATCAAAAGCATTTGACACATTTAGTGCCTTTGCTGCTTTGCAAGTGAGTATTTTTAAAGATTTTCACACATTCTGACATTTAATAGGTCTGTGTATTCTGCCCAGGAAGGACAAGTGTTGCTACTACCTGCATATTTCTGCAATACAAAAAAAGATATTTTTTGACAGTTGCAGTAATTTATGGGTATTGTCTCTTAAGGGTGTTAAGGAACTGAATTTATTTACGTTTGCTGTTCCTTTTGTGTGTTCTATGTTTTTATAGAAACCCTTTGCAGGGCTGCAATCAGCCAAATAATTTCTTCTACACAGAGTAGTAATTATGTTGCCTGACTGGCATGAAATACATTTTCCCGTACTTTGTCCAGTATTCTCTTTGCCCCATTAGCATTTCACCTCAACTGAAGGAATAACTGATAAACCATAAAAATTGCAGAAAATTACTGCTTCCAGATCACAAATTCTCAGCTCCTGTTCCTTCTTTACACAGGAAGGAAATACAGTAAGTAGAAAAACAGCACAATACTAAGCCCACAGTAGGATTTTGTACTTTTGATTATTGTAATGCTTCTTATTCTACCTTTGCAGACAATCTTTGTAACACTTCAGGTGAAAGACTAAGCAGAGACCAAGGCAGTAGCCATCTGTCCCCTGTAAGAGTTCACCTTAAACATACCAAATTACATTTCACTTTAAATTATGCATATTAAATGTTTTTACCTGATCACTAACGGAACGTGGCAAGAGCTGGCAGACTCCTTCAAGAAAAGTCTGGATTTCAGTAGTAGTAGCATTCTTTGACAGTTCTTTGTCCGCGTAAGCAACAATCAACTTGCACACATCACAAAAATTCCCAACTTCTGACTGCACTGAAACAATTTTTTCTGAAAAGACACAAAAGCAGTTTTATGTTTAGAGGACCTCTCACAGCCACTAAAGAAATTTTAAAAAGCAACTTCACAAAAATAGATCAATTAAATAATAAGCAGAGTACCTCTTGCATAGCACTGGCTTATTCAAATCTTACCTGCAGGCAATGCCTTATTTGTACAGCATTTCAGCATCACGCAGACACTTTTTGGATCAGTGGCTTCTAACAGCATGTCAATAATAGCCTTCCCATAGATATCCACAAAGTCTTTACACTGGTCCCGGAATTGTTCAGGTAGCACAGAACAGACTTTCTCCATTGCAAATACCATTTCTTCCTAATACACGAGAATGACTGTTATTAAATTTAAGTCACCTGTTTCTTAAGATTACAAAACAAATTCATAAAGAAATATCAGAACACACTAAAAACAGCTGTAAAATTGTGTGTGCGTGCGCACATAGTTTTAGCCTGATATGCTACCACAGTACAAAATGGCTACCTCTTCTACAGCATTTTAATGTGAGTGTACAATACACAGATTATATCAAGGTGGGCATCTTCTGTGGATGGAAGGGACATTGCACCATCAAAGTACTGACGGATTTCACTGGAGACTTTAAATAAGCATTTTTACTTTAAAACCAGTCATATGGAATCCACATACCTAAACTGCTCCTCAGGGAGATTTTCAGCTGTACAGTACAATTTCAAAACAAGGTGCATGGATATGCACTTTCATTTTTAAAGTGCAAGCACTTGTTCAGAGTGGATTATTATTATTACAGTACGTATTTGGTTGTTGTCACAGTGAATGTAAAAGATTTTTCTAAGGTAAAGGCTCCTTGTCGAACTTACTTCGCTAACCGGATAAGCGAAGCGTCCAACCAGCAGGCGGAGTTATTCCGTATAGTGCGTGACCTATCCGGAACTGGTCTGGATGATAGACCTCCCCCTAGTTTTTCACCTGACCAGTTTGCAGCCTTTTTAAAATCTAAAGTGGAGGCCATTCGACGGGACCTCTCTCCTTTTTTGAACACAGTGAGTCGAGCAGAGATGTCCAGCGCTCCGTCTTGCCCGGTAACCCTTGACTCCTTTCAGCCTGTCACGCCTGATTCTGTGGCCAGAGTGCTTGACCGCTGTTCAGCCACCACCTCCTCCTTGGACCCTTGCCCGGCCTGGCTAATCAAAGCAGCCAGGCCGATAACAACAAAATGGGCCACTGCAATAATAAATGGGTCTTTCCTTGAGGGCAGGTTACCCTCTGTCCTCAAGGAGACACTCATTAGGCCCATAAGAAAGAAACCTAATTTGGCGGCGGACGAAATTGGCAATTATAGGCCCGTCGCCAATATTTCTTTCATAAGGAAAGTGGTCGAGAGGGTGGTGGCTGACCAGTTTCAGGCAAATCTCAAATAGTCCAGAACAAAACCTGCACAGGAGGGTTATGTTACAAAGCTATGAAAAAGCATGTGCTCCTGGCACCTGGCTCACTATCTTCCTACTCAGAGCATCTGCCAAGTCTCCTGGCTCACTCTCCTCCTTGTCTCCTCCTTGTGGATAATGTTTGGGGAGGTGATCCAATTTTGTGCCCCTAGGGGTACCCAGAGGGGCAATAGGATGTGGAGGCAGACCCCTCCCTGAATGCCCCTGCTTATTTGCTCACATTGGGACAGGGAGTCATGATGTTGACGGATTGTTACTTTGTATGAGATAAGCTGTAAAAACTGATGAACTCCTATGAATTCAATGAAATGTGGAAAAGCCATGAAGAATAATGAACACTTGTGAATAATATCCAAGTGAGAATTAGACTTTATTCTGATCTTTACAACCTTGGGCAATTCATTTCACCTTAGGCATGATGCAATAGTCTTCAATGTTTGGATGTACCCCAATTCAGTAAACCTGCAAAGGGATGCAAGGAAGACTAGAGATTAGCAAATTTTGCACGTGGTCCAAAATCAACAACTTTGCAGTAATATTCTAGCACTCCACAGGCCTGAAGCAGAAACTGTGTGGTAGGAGGTGAAGAAACAATGAAATGCAATTAGTCAGTTCCGGCTGAAGAAAAAAAAATCCCCCCCCCCCAAAAAAAAATCACTGCGAGACCCATTGGAAATGCGACTAATCTCTTCTGGCCAAAGGGGGGGGGAATGCAAACGAATCATGCAAGACCCATCGGACTCGATACTTGGCGGAACGCTTACTCCCAACTAGTTCTACTCGTGTCACCCGTGCGAGCCAGGATGTGAGGCTGAGGAGCCTGACGCCGAGGGAGACTCGGAAGGAAAGAACTAGAAACCGGGCCTTCTCGGCGGTGGCTCCTCACCTCTGGAATAACCATCTTGCAGAATAATTTAATTAATTAATTTGTTACAAATTTTTCTTGAACTTGTTATACTTTATGTTGTAAGCCGCCTAGAGTGGTCGAAATGACTAGATAGGTGGAGTATAAATACAATAAATAAATAAATACCTAAACTGCTCCTCAGGGAGATTTTCAGCTGTACAGTACAGTTTCAAAACATGGTGCATGGATACGCACTTTCATTTTAAAAGTGCAAACACTTGTTCAGAGTGGATTATTATTATCACAGTATTTGGTTGTTGTTACAATGAATGTAAAAGAGGAATGGGACTTTTTTATATTGCTATTGTGACAAATTCATTACAAGTGGTTGCAGCACTAGGGACCTTAAGGATGCAAGAGCAGCTGAGAGGAATCACAGTTATGACACCACCTACTCCACTCTTGCTATGCATTTCAGGATAGTGCAGATGCACACCCAAAAAAATCTTAGGCAGAGCACACAAAACAAACGTGAGATCAGGGCAGACTTGGAAACATTAATCAGATATGAATATAATAGTTGTGCCTCGCTTTACGATTGCCCCGCATTACGACGATCTTTTTGCAATCGCAATTGCAAATGACGTTTTTAATCAACAGTTTCAAAATCGCCGCCGGGTAAACAAAATGGCTCCCCACTGTTTTCTGGGGCGGATTCCTCGCAAGGCAAGTAGCAAAAATGGCTGCCCTATGGAGGATCTTCACTGGACAGTGAGTTTTGACCCCATTGGAAGGCATTAAAGGGGTTTCGATGTGTTTCACTGGGGGGTTTTTTGTTTGGTTTTTTTTTTTTTTTGCATTATGATGTTTTCGCTTAACAGCGATTTTCTTGGAACGGATTATCGTCGTTAAGCGAGGCACCACTGTACGCTACTGTGCCACAAACCTTGCGCAAGTTATTACTGTGATAAGGTAAAATAAATCCATCTTTAGCCACCACTGCCATGGCATATCTAAGGGCTGTTATTTCAAGAGTTACTTAAATGAAAACAGAACACATACCTCTGACTTATTGCTTTCTAGAAGACTGGCCACCTCTTCTACCATCATTGTACATGCATCACACAGAGAGAAAGATTCTCTTTGACTCAGGTTATTCTATACATGACAATAAAAATGTTGATTAGGATTATCAATAGGCAATACCTAACAAGGTGAAAAGGACATCAGTTGCACAAATATTTAATTAATAACAATAACAATAACAATAACAATAACAACAACAACAACAACAACAATAATAATAATAATAAATGTTATTGTAAGTATATATACATGGTATACCCATACCACAAAATGCTGTATGACTTTAATCCTAGTCCATTTCTGATTAGTTTAAGAGGGGACAAAAGTCTTTAACATTAAACCTTTTTAACAGGAGTGGCTTGTAATATAAATGCTGGTGTGGAGCAGCTTGCCTCAGTTTTTAAGAGAAGGCATTCCAAGTGTTTCCCGTCACTAACTCGCTATGTCTTTTAATATTTCAGTTACATTGCTTTGTTTAAAAACAGCTAGATTTGTATTCTTTCAAGTTTCACCATGAATTTGAAACCTGAATAATTCCTTAAAATAGAATCCGTGACCTTAACATTACCGCTAATGCCTAGTATTTGAGGCCAAATATTTCTTAAGTACGAGACAAGAGATCATGTATTTTTGTGGGATCTTATGAATGTTCATGGTTAGGAACAGCACAGATATTATTTCCTTTCTCATTCAGAAAAGCTGTTTTGCCCCAAAACTGCTGATCTTTGTTTTTGAAGTGTCATGAGCATTTTGCTGAAGACTATTATTGTAGTCTTGAGTTTGCATTTGAACACAATTTGCTCAACAAGCACTGAAGTAATGTAGCCTTCCCACTTGCAACATTTTCTGCTCAGTGAGGGAAGATGTTTGAATTATCTTATTTGCAAGTGTTCTGTTTAGTTATAACCTACAGCTTAATTCCAAACAATTGTATGTCTTTTGAAGAGAACACAAGAAGGAAATGGGCATATAACAGTGCATTCATTATGCCATTGTGGCACTGATGTGGAACAGAAGCTTAAGGAAGTACAGTATGCTTACATCTTTATAGTCTTCCAAAGTTTTATTCCAATCTATGACAATGGTCATGATGGGTAAAATTACCTGGTCCCATCCCTCATAAATAGACTGCTAACCATCAATTCTTACCTCAACTGGTTCTACCTTTACTTCAGAAATAACTTTAGCAGGCACCAGAGTTTGAAGAGGCACAGATCTCCGAGAGGAACAGAATCCAATCGTCTCACAAATAGTCTGTGGTGGCTGGAGACACACAGAACAGTTACACAAATTAATTCCTGAAGCCTACAAGAAGGACTACTCCATCTTAGACCCTGACATTAAATTATATATGATATGAAAGAAGTCGAAAATTCCAGAAGGAAGCTCAGACAATACTATTCATAGTACCTTCTGTTGGAGATGCCCAGCAAGTCAATTTATTTTGGTAATTCTAATCTACAGAGAAACATAATGCTTCATATTTGAACAGACAACAAGACTTCAGCAGTTTTTATGCACATTAAGAGGATTTTCCGACCAACTTTAGATGCTTTAAAAATCTTAAGCCAAAAGGATGTTGATCATGATGATACCTGAGCTTCAAGTATTCTCAAGACATTGCATTAATGTTATACTCATGTAAAGTGTTAACAGGTGATGGTGTTAACTTATAAAGCTCTGAACAGTTTGGGACCTCGATACCTGATGGGATGGCTTCTCCCATATGATCTTCCCAGGCTGGACATTTGAGAGTACTGACCCCAAGAGGAGCTCAGAAAGAGAGAACCAGAAACTAGGCCACCTTGTTGGTCACTCCTCAGCTTTGGAATAAACTCCTGTCTGAAATCTGCCTGGCCCTTCACTGGGAATTTTTAAGTGACTATTAAAAAATATGGCTTTTTTTTTACAGGCCTTCCCAGACCTTACAACACCTTAATACATTGATTAGTATTAACTCTTATATTATCACTCCTGCTGTCCAGCTTTATACTATTTTATGTTATTTTAATTACTATTATCTAAAATGTTGGTTGTTTATCCTTATTTTTATTTTATACTATTATGTTTCCTGTTTCAAACTCTGTATGCTTAATATGAAAACTGCCCAGAACAGCCTGGTAACCAGAGGAGTGGTATAGAAGCCAAATAAATAAATAAATAATATTTTAAAAAACACAAAACAGAAAGTGCTCTCTAGGAAAGAATTAGTTTTCTAAAAAAAAGCCTAGCTGCTTATTATGTTTCTGCTCCATTACAGTTAATGAGAAACAAGGTTTTCTATTACTCATTCATATGTCACCTAATAGACTAGTAAAGCTTCTCTTCAGAACCTATTTCAGTTACAGGTTCACGTGAAACACTTTTAAAGACTCTTAAGTCACAACTGTATAGCAAGAACTTGACCTACCCAGACAGCTACTCACAACTTTTAATTCTGAGATATTTTCTGATCCCAAGAGTAAAATATAACACACACAGTAAAGCTGCATCATTCCCTAACCTTTCTAGCTAGAATGTATCATAAAACATATTTCCAAGCTACTGTGGATGTACAGTGTTTACACCATGCTGCCATTTTACTTTTTAAATTAACCACAAAGTGCTTCCTCACCATGAGAATTCCCTACTGCCTTGCAATTTGCTTACTACCTGCAAGAACAATTTTATCAAATCTAACTACTCTACATGGCAAAAAGCTACTCAGAAATTAAGTTCAAACAGAATAACTGCTAATATTTGCTAATGTATTAGTAGTTGCTAAGTTCAGTTCACTCTGGTCAAAATCCTGTTAAATAATACCTTTGAAAGTGCATTCTTTCTTAGCTCAAGCTGAATATTACTTTAAAATAATATACTGACTTTTAAAGGATCCTCCCAAAAAATCCTGAATCTCCCAGAGCTTCCCTTTCGCCCTGGAGCAGCTTTTGGGAAACATAAGGCCGGGGGGGGGGGGGGATTAATAAAAA